CAAAAACATCCTTACTGATCATGCTCAAAAGAGGCATGGATCACTCTATAGCAACAAGAACACATTGCATAAAAATATAATCAGGGAAAAGACTTAGAAGATTTCTAAGGCCCTGAAATCAGCAGCATTACGAGAGCTACTTTGCATGCTTGTGCTAGTCACCACAAAGATCACAAAAAATACATGACATACACCCCTGTAAAGATGGCATGACATACTTCAAATCCCATGTAGGGCTCAAGTTCATAGGAGGCACACAACAATCATGGCAAAAATGACAAATGTCCAATTACTGATAAGAATCTGAAACTAATATAAACTAGCACTTTTGCAACAGCATTTAGGGCATCAAGATGAGCTCAAATGAACATGGTGCAATGAAATGAAATGAAGTACTCGTCGAGACGAACAATTTGACATGCTACACGCCCAAAACGGAGCAACGGATGCAGAGTTATGATGCGATGAAATATGCATAAAAATACTGGAACGGGGCAAAATTAGGTCAACCGTTATTGTTTCCAGATCGGGATCGGCGCGGCGGCGAGGAAGGGCCCCGGGCGTGGCGACCTCGTGCCGGGAGCGGCGACCCTGCGGTGGAGATGGCGAGCTCCGGCGCGCTGGTAGCTGCCGGCGGCGGCCAAAGACGAAGCGGGCGGCGGCGCGAGGCGAAGTGCGGCGGAGCGGGCGGCGGTGGGTGCGCGGGCCGGGAGGGCCCGACCTGCGCTTCGGCGGGCCGGTGGGGATGTGGGCGCGCGGTGCCACGTGGCGACCGGCGGTTGGCGCGGTGGCGGCGGCGGACGCGTCCGGCCGGAGCGGACGTGTCCGGCACGGAGAGGGAGCGGGACTAGGGTTTCGGGATCCGGAATCTTCGGGGGAGATGCCTTTTTATAGGTAGGAGGAGTTAGGAGGTTCCAAATTGAGTACGTTTTTCGGCCACGCGATCGTGATCGAACGACCTAGATGATGGAGGGGGTTTAGATGGGTTTTGGGCCACTCTGGAGAGGTGTTGGGCTGCAACACACACGAGGCCTTTACGGTCCCTCGGCTAACCGTTGGAGTATCAAACGAAGTCCAAATGGCACGAAACTTGACAGGCGGTCTACCGGTAGTAAACCAAGGCCGCTTGGCAAGTCTAGGTCCAATCTGAAAACGTTTAACACCCGCACACGAAAAGAGGTAAAAGGGGACACCGGAGGACATAGGAGCGTCGGAATGCAAAACAGACAACGGGGAAAAATGCTCGGATGCATGAGACGAACACGTATGCAAATGTGATGCACATGATGACATGATATGAGATGCATGACAAAGGCAAAAGCAACACGAAGACAAAAACCCGACAACGTGGAAATATCATAACTTAGTGTCGGAAATAGCAAGAGTTGGAATACAAATATGGCAGGTTACATATGAGGCGTTACAGGTGTGGTGGTGCCTAACCGCCCTACCTTATCCCATCGGTTTTTACTGACGACATGGTGTGGTTGATGAGGAGGCACGAATGCGTGATCACAACGTGCCATCAGGCCGCCACCGCGACGACAAAGACAAGCTTAATGACGACCACGGCAGAGACGACAGTCACAAGCATCACGACGAACGGCAATCATCCTGGCGCAGCCGTATCTTCGAAAGAAGGTCAAAGGAAACAAAGAGGCTCCATGGCGCCGGTCCTTAGAGGCACGGTCACGAAGACTTCCCGACTGTCATCGATAAGGTCAAGCCGGATCTGGTAGGGAAGCGGCGACAGCCGTGCGTTGGCCACTCGTTTTGGAGTCAATTATGGTCGTCTAGTGGTCTCGAAATCTTGACGCGGTTTTAGTTTTGTTTGGGAATTTTATACTTTCGGTGAATATTTATAATAGATTTGATCTTCTGGCAAAAAAAGCTAAGACACATGCAAAGACTGAATCAGTTTTCGAATTACGAGGCAATTGGGCGGCTCCAAATCTGCGTGGTACAAATCTTCTCCCACAAAATTTCTTGACTTGAGACAGCTTCGCTTTAACGAAATCTGCAATTCAGGTTAATCTCGAGCGTTGATTGCGGATCTCCATCCGGAGATGTGCGGTTGGAACAAGGCTGGATGAACTCCAAACTGACGACCTTCGCACTCAGCACCGGCAGAGCGAAAGCTTATCCCACTCCGGCCGTGGCCTATCCACCCCGCACGCACGCACGCACAGCAGGCAAGCCATGGCGCTCTCCGTCTCCTCCCTCGCCTCGGCCTTCTCCCACCTCTCCCTCCCCTCCACCTCCGCGCCCCACCCGCTCCCTCTCCTCCGCCTCCACCCCACCACCCGCCGCGCCGCTCGCCTCGTCCTCTCCGCCTCCGGGGCCGACGCCGCCGAGCCGGTCGAGGCGGAGGCGCCTGCCGCCGACGACGGGCCCGAGGAGGTGCTCGCGGTCGAGGCCGAGGAGGACGCGCTCTCCGGGCTGGCGCTGCGCAAGTACGTGAAGCAGCGGCTGCCCGGGGGATTCGCCGCGCAGCGGATCACCGCCACGGGCCGTCGGAAGATGGCGTCCGCCCGCGTCGTGCTCCAGGAGGGCACCGGGAAGGTCTTCATCAACTTCCGCGACGCCAAGGTGGTTATCCCCTTCCTCCATTCGATGAATGCACGTCCTGGTTTCAGAAACTGCTGCAACATTCTGCGACTCTGAATGTGGCATGGCTCTAGAATTAGCTATCCGTCGAATGTTTGTCCACTGTGCTTGGTTGCTAGCATGTCTGCTCATTGCTAATGTAATAATCGACCCCAACCATGTATGTTTACTAGTAGTCGGGTAATGGAACATACTTAGTTTGCATTCCATGTTTCAGGCTCCGAGATTCTAGTTTGTCAGGTGCTAATGGGTCTGCATAGATTCATTTAGATAAACAACAATGCATACTTGTCGCAGATTTTAATCTGTTAGGTTAATCAGTCCCTCCTTGTGTTTTTGGTTTGCGGTAATGCACGGCCTAAAATACTATTTGGTCGAAATTGGTGCGGGGATGGTCGGTGGTAAAGCACCTCAAACGGGGAACTTATTTTCAGATGTCATATCAAGCGGAACATGTGACCGGAGCACTTGACTCTGTGAATAGATTAGCAGAATGAGGGTTGCAAGCTTAACTAGTGAAAGGAGGATTCTGCATTTCACACGGTTAGGATGTCTAATAGCATGTTACTTCTATCCTGTTTATACTTTATAGTGTTGGATACTCACTTCACTGGCTCTATTTGCTTCACATTGTTGCCATCACCAAGAATGCAGTTTGGTAACTGATGTTGAATGTGGTTTCCAAATGCCTAAGATTTAGATTCTAGATAGTGAGAATAGTTGAAATCATGTAACACCTTTGTTCATTTGCTCAAGGACCATGATACGGACACAAGTTCAGTCATCACTCATCAAATTTCATGGGAAAAATAATTTTCTCTTTGACGTACATTACGCGCAGCTATTTGGATGAATGACCAACTATGATGCTGCTAACTTCATTAAGGTTAAACTGTAGCAAAGTAGATGGTTTCAGCTGCATATATACTAAATGAGTAAATTATGGTGCTAACCTCATTAAGGCACAGCTTTTCTTTTTCTGTACCTGAGGGAATACATGGAAATAAAAAAATTTGATAAATATTCAGTCGCTTGTCTGTACTTATATACTTCAAATATGCAGGAGTATTTGCAAGCGAATCCGATGTGGGTGGAGTATTGCAAGATCCCCCTGGTGACTCTAGGGTTTGAGAACAACTACGACGTCTTCGTGAAAGTTCAGGGAGGTGGCCTCTCAGGCCAGGCCCAGGCGATCTGCCTCGGCGTGGCGCGTGCGCTGCTGAAGATCAGCCCCGCCAATAGAGTTCCCCTGAGGTCAGAGGGCTTGCTGACCAGAGACACTCGCGTCGTTGAAAGGAAGAAGGCGGGTCTCAGGAAGGCGCGCAAGCGTCCCCAGTTCTCCAAGCGTTAAGCAGGATACTTCATTGTTGTTAGGGTCGTTTCTGTGCCATCTTTCCCCACTTGAAAAAAGTCCCTCTCGTGTCTTCGTTCTGTGCTGGACGCCACAGATTTGTAATATTCGTTTTCTGAAAGCAATTTTCTTGAGGTTACAGAAGATAGTTTTCTTGCAATTGGTCTACCAAGTTTGACGAGTCGTTGCTCAAACTTGAAGCACGGCTTTTTACTACCGCTCGGAATTAGATCATAAGGGAATTTCTATCTACACTGGCAC